ACACATTATTTGTGCCTTTCCGAATACCGTATTCGGGTTCGGCTCCACCCCTAGTGCACAGTGTTGTCACTGACAAAACGGCTGCAGAAACAGAGACACAGGAACCTCAGGGCAAGTTTAAGAAATATGGGCTGGGGCGGGCGGGGTAGACTGGAGGTAGCTGTCACTTTAGGGCAGTCAATCCCCAACATTCCCTAGGAATAGTAAGTTGAATGGCACTATCAGCAGGCCCTTTGATTCCCCTCCTTACTGTCCCGGTTTCTCTCCTGCATGGACTTTACATCCTGCCAGGGACAGTTTCAGCCCCAGGCTGGGTAAATGAGGGGTTACCAGCTGTGCCCTGTTATCACCCTTAAGGGCTACAGTTAAGAATCTATGGTTATTATCGTTATGTGAGAGTTGACTGCCCCCTGGTGGGTGACGGTGAGTTTGCAGCCATCCATATCATAAATTAATGTCTTGGACTGCTGAGTGCAGCATGTGATGCTCTATGCTACTTTCACTACACTGTGTAGCACTTTTCAACCCTCCTTGAGCAGCTGCCAGGATGTCATGCTGCTTCTGAGGATGGACTCCACAGCACATCTGTTTGCGAGGACTGTAGGTAACATCCAGGCCTTCCTCAGACAGCTAAGGGAGTAAAGGTGCTGATGGGCCTTCTCCATAGCAGCTGCAGCGTGCTGTTCCACTTAAGGCCAGTGGCGAGGGTGACTCTGAGCAGTTTAATGCTGCTGACCCTTATACAGGTCATACCTGTCAAGTTTTTGATTTGAAAATAAGGGAAATTTTCCGGCACCCACCGCGAGCCACCCCACCACCCCAACCAAGCTCCAGTATCTCTTACATTTTAAGACAGGTGTACAAGAAATCTAAAATAACCACTTGTCATTTACATTTAATTTTCATTACACATTTTCTTCTAATTTCTCATGTTCACTCATGTGGCTCTCTGGCATTCACTATAATGACTTATTATACAGATTTGTTGCAGACTTTGTATCTTTGTTGAAGTCGTCACAGAAGGTGAAAGTAACGTTGTTTTTGGCACACAGCATTGCCATTTTAACCTCCGCATTTATGACCTGGATAATGTTGTAAATGACCTGCAGACTACTGCAGGTGGCAGTTCTCGCGAGGCTACTGACAGTTTAGTTTGGAGAGGCAGAGGAATTTTTTGAAATGATATTATAATACGGGAGATTTACGGGAAAATAGTAAAATACTAATACGGAACGGTAAAATACGGTAGTTTCCCAGCCAAAAACGGGAGACTTGACAGCTATGATACAGGTTCCCTAATAGTATAAATGGGAGTGTGACCTCCTGCTTACTTAATTTGATGACTCGTTTCTTTGTCTTGCTGACTGCTTGTCTTGACTTTTGCCTTAATGAATAATACGAGCAAAATACCATTCAGTTCTAAAACAGAAAGCTAAAACATTAATAATATTAACTACAGCTATTTTTAACCTTAACAGAAACTGTTCGATGAAGAATTTGTAGCCTTTGTCTAGTTCGCACCGGTTTGTTAGGGGAAATACGTCTGCAATTCTTTTAAAATCTTCTACCTGTATTCGTGACAGATGCACCAAAGACTGAGAAACTCCATGAGAAAGTATTATTCTCAACTTTGCATTTTCTACTTGATTAGTGTTGATGACCTGCTCCGAGTCAGAACGAAAGTTGGCTGACGTCAAGTGACATAGGTCCATTATTTGAAAGGTATCGAATATAATTATTTCCGGGTCACAGTGGACGCCGACAGAGTAAAAGTGGTATTTCCTGAATGTTATTTACGAATAATTTCACAAATATAAATGACTGTCGACATACAGGGTATCACGCTAAAAACAAAACATGTTATTCTATTATGTCGATTTAATGTCAGGCGAATGTTATTGCGTCACTTTTTACTTTTTAAGCTTTTATTTTGAAAATTCATAACCGGAAGTGGGTGAAATTATCAGGAACGCCTGCCAGTAACTGTCAGTTTCTGATCGCTAAAGCTGGGAATCAGTGTACGCGATGCGAACTTGGTATAATGTACCTGTTGAATAGTAACCGGGTCTTGGTGACGAAGTATCACGGAAAATAAGGTATTTACATTGATGCGAGCGATTTGTTCAGGGTAAATAGGTGATTTAGGGTAAGAAGTACACGCACAGTTGTTACTATAATGGAAGGCTTCAGAGACGCGGTCACTTTGCATAGCTTACCGTTTACCCAATAAACTATAAGGGCAAGCGCTATTGAAAACCGAAAATGTCACTGTACCATACATAATTACATTACAGTTGAAGGAAACAGTCGAGTTTGGTGAACAGCTGACACCAATAGGCTTTTTTAACTTGATTGTCAGATGAGTGTCATTTTTAAATAAAATACGAACGATGACGCTGTATTGGAAAGGTACGTGATGGAACAGTCACGGTCAAGAACATGGGGATCGTTAACTGCTAAAAACTCCGACGTGAACAGTGTGAGGAGTCCGAACAAACCAAACACTAGAAAAGAGATCCAGAAACTTAGCGTCAGTTATGAGCTGATGTTCCCATGTCTCTAGGTATATAACTGTAAATAATGGCGGTGAAGATACAGATAGGGAATTAATGGCAGGAACGAACGATATACTAAATTTAAATTTAAGATGTTAAATAAATAACATATTTGTATGAGCGAATCAAGCCATTTTTTGACAATGGACATTTGCCCAATAAAGAATACAACGTTAATCTCCGTTTACTTTATCGTTCTGTTTATGTACTTCTGACTGGTACATTCCGTGACTTTGTATAGTATAAAATAATTTGTATTGATACTGTGTTTTGTTGTGTGTATTAAAATTATTTGTGTTTGTGATGTAGTACCCGTGTTCCGACATTTTGGCATTCTTTATCAGAATAGCATACTGCAGAATATCAGAATATAAGTACACGTTTTGGTCTGTCGTAATTTATCAAAATACCATACCTACATATTTTAAAGAGGGTAAAATAGTATGATACGGAAATTTTTGATGCCAAAATGAACTGTATTTTTAACCGAGGCAGCATGCCCTAATAATGAAATTTACCTAATCAGAATATAGTTTTTAATAGTGATATCACGTTCTAAGGAAATGTAAGCTATCAGAAAAATATACCTATAACAAGTACACAACTACATGTAATAACAAGTATACAACTACACTATAACTGCACGTAATAATGGGTCAAGAAATAGTATCAATTATTATGCTGCTTTCATATACTCGTAATCGATACTTTATTAATCCCTGTGAAGAAATTGTCTTTACCCCTCCCTCAACTTGCTCTTTGTAGAGTAAGCTGTCCATGAAGGATGATGGACAGCCACCTGTTGGGGTGCCCAGGGAGCTGGGGGTTAAGGGCCGTGCTCAAGGACCCACAGATATGCTGAGGCAGGGTTTGAACCAGCGACCTTGTGATTACAGGCACACAGGCTTAGCCTGCTGAGCCACATTCTGCCCCAAAAAGATAGGTTAAGTTTTCAACCAGCAATAATCGCGCCTCGGCGGTATGCTAAATTTATGGAATAGTGGAGAATGCCACGTAATTGGCCTTCTCGTCCAACATCAGTGGCTCCCCTGGAAGAATGGTCTAAGATTCCCATAAACACACTCCTCAAGCTTGTGTACAGTCTTCCCAGAAGAGTTGAAGCTGTTACAGCTACAAAGGGTGGGGCCAACTCCATACTAAAACTTGTATTAAGAATGGGATTAAGAATCCCATTCTTAAGAATGTATTAAGAATGGGATGTCATTAAATTCAATGTGTGTGTAAAGGCAAGCGTCCCAATACTTTTGGCAATATAGTGTGTGTGTGTGTGTGTGTGTGTGTGTGTATATATATAATTTTACAGTGCTGGCTGCACGTAGACCATGGCCATTGGCACTTCATCATCAGTGTTTTACTGTGGTTTATCAGCACCTACAGTAGTGAACTTGCGCCACGAGTTCTAAAGAGTTCTAAATTCCTGCTGCTTACATACGTTTCACTTGATGAATAACATCACCTCAAAGCCGAAACAATCTCAAGTTTGAAGCCTATTGTTTTGTTGCTTTTGTCAGAAACTGAATCATGAACCGCCAAAGAGCACCGAATGTGGTGAAAGTATTGTTTTTATTTTCTATTACGTTCAAAATTCTTCATGCTGTTACTTTAAGTGTGATTTATATTTTGAGTTAAATAATTCTTTTTTTATGTCTTTTATGTCGAGTACATATTTCAAGTTAAGCAGTTGTGTTACTCATTGTTATTTTTGTGCTTAAAAAATTGGCCTATTTTCGGTCATCGTCACCCTCCCTCCCACTAGGGGTGCCATCTGTCCCTTATAATTATAATACGTGACAATCCTGTATTGGAATTTGCTGCGTCCTGTATTATACGGGGCGATGGTGGCAACCCTATCTCCCACCCTCTAGAAATCGGCATCGCCCACATTTGTCGACCTCTAAACCACACCGTTGTATTCTTGGTCGTTCAGATTTGGTAGTTCTTCTGTTGCACGTATAGAATGAACTATTGGTTAGAAGTGTGTAGTGTGTATGCCAGCTGTTTAATCAGTTCAAAATATTATTCTTTATGTTCCCTTGAATATTAAGATTTCCTGGCAGTTATATGATGATCATTTTTCTGAAAACATGCATCAGTGATTAACAGGCATTTGAGGATGAGGAGGTTGTTGTGCCTACATGGTTCAGAAAACCTGATGATAATGTGAAAATTTTAATCTTTCGGTTATTTCTGTTTAATTCCACAGAGATCCTCACCATTTGTCAAGAGAGTTTGTGTCACACAAAGAAACAGTGGCGTTGGGGGCTGGAGCCAGTTCTCTGCTTGTCCTCTTCCAAACAACATGAGCACTGTGAGTCCTCCTCAGGGTCTTCAGCCAACTCGGTTGTTAAGTATAGATTTATTTCTATAGCAAACACGTTTGTTGAAAGTGACTTTAAAAATAGGATCAGTAAACAGGGTAAACCAGCCGGGAGTAATTGGGATTAAGTGCCTTGGTCAATGGCCCAACAGTGATGTTCTTCTGTTTACCATGGGATTCAAACCAATGACTTTCTGGACATAGTGACAGATCCCTAACAGTCTGAGCTACACACCCCCTGTTTACAGAAGCCATGTAAAAAGCAGCCTGGATCCCAGATGTTGAAATATCTAGGGTTATATTTTGATGATCTGTGGGAATGAGGTGAATGCAAGCTAAAGCACATGTGGAATGAGAGGTGCACTACAGTTACTAAGCAAGGTTCCCTGCTTATTTGTAAAGCATTGTCTTGTTTATGGATGTTTTCTGACCCAGATAGACTTCCCATTTACTGGTTTTATTTTCTAACGGCATCAATTTTTTTTTCACCCCTAACAGCCACATCTGGTTAGTAGGTTAATCATGTGGGTGTAACATGGAGAACATTTTGATTTCTTAAAAAAAATTTACTAATATCCATCCATGAATTTATTACCCATCCATCTGTCCATCCATCCATCATTCATCCTTCCTCCAACCACTTATTCTGAGTTGTGGGAACAATAAGAATTCATAAATCTAGTTGTCTTAGTAATATAATACTTGGGGCTGTATAAAAGAACATAAGACATTTACAAGCGAGAGGAGGCCATTCGGCCCATCAAGCATTTTTGGGGAGAACTTAACTAATAGCTCAGAGTTGTTAAAATCTTATCTAGCTCTGATTTAAAGGAACTCAGGGTTTTAGCTTTCGCTACACTAGCAGAAAGACTATTCCATACTCTAACTACACGCTGTGTAAAGAAGTGCTTCCTCAAATTTGTTTTAAAATGTCCTCCTGCTAATTTCCACTTATGGCCACGAGTTCTAGTATTTAAACTAATATTAAAATAGCCATTTGGCTGAACAGCATCCAGACCCGTTAGAATCTTATAGACCTGGATCATGTCCCCCCTTAGTCTCCTTTGCTCGAGGCTGAACAGATTCAGCTCAGCTAACCTCTTATAATAAGACATTCCTCTAAGACCAGGAATCATTCTTGTAGCCGTACGTTGAACCTTTTCCAAGGCAGCAATGTCCTTTTTAAGGTATGGTGACCAAACCTGCACACAATATTCTAGGTGGGGAATTGTATAATCGTAGCATCACCTCCCTTGACTTAGTCTCCACACACCTAGAGATGTAACCCAACATCCTATTGGCCTTTTTTATTGCTGGCCCACACTGGCGAGAGTGGGACATGGAAGCTTCAACATGCACACCGAGGTCTTTCTCATAATCAGCTACCTTTATATCAGTGAAACGCATAAAATATCTATACTTTATATTTCTGCTCCCTGCATGGATTACCTTACATTTATCTACATTAAATTTCATCTGCCAGGTATCAGCCCAGTTGTTCATTAAATCAATATCCCGTTGTAGCCTCTGTGCTGCTAATTTAGTATCTGCTACACCACCCACCATGGTGTCGTCTGCAAATGTAACCAGTTTACTGTATGTATTGGTGTCAATATCATTAATGTAAATTAGGAACAATAATGGTCCTAAAATTGAACCCTGCGGTACCCCACTATCTGTTCATCTGTTCAACCCAACATAAGACATTTACAAGCTCCCATCCATTCTCTACCCCCAGGTCCAGAGAAGGAGGCACATCAATTCTTCTGGGTCCCGGCGACCCACCAAAAGGAGTAGGGGCACCAGTATGCCCTCCCGGAGAGGCCCTGATTCTAGCAGGCACAACGGTTTGTTAACGGCCTCTATTCACAATCCACTGATCTCTACAGAAGAAATGGTTCTCACTGTTGATCCTTGTAGACTAGGGCCTCTGCATTGCTGACAGATGTTACGATATTGGACTATTTAGCTCAATGACGTGATTTAGTCACGTATTTAAATGCTCATCTATTCAGGATACATTAGAATGGTGGCCACCCAAGAGCAGGATTAGGGACCACTGCTCCTCACTCATAATACCGACATTACTGCACGAATCCCACTTTGCTACATTTTGAGGGGGGAAGTAAGGAATGCTGAGCAGTTAACCTAAAACAACCTGGGTGTCAGAGGGTGTCAGAGGGTGTCAGAGGGTGTCAGAGGGTGTCAGAGGGTGTCAGAGGTATATAGCTTGTGTCCAGAAAAAAACCCAGACCAAGATTTTGTTTCAACCAACAAACAAAATCCAAAGTCTGTATTATGACTGCCTATTTATAACATTAATCGAATAAACTATTGATTAGGCTGACGATTAATCAAGTAATCATTTATTTAATTTAAACATTGCAATTGGTGTAAGGCAGGAACTAACCGGTCATTGCAGGGTGCACACTGAGTCACACATATGCTTAGTTTAGGCATTCAGATTTACTTAAGTTGCCTGCTTTTGGACAGTGAAAGGAAACCAGAGGATCCGTTGAAAAGCCACACATACGCAGGGTGAGCATGCAAACACCATACACACAAAGCGGCGCTGTGCAGCAACAGTGCTATCTGCCGTGTCAGGTTTGCACGGTATGCGATGTTAATATCAACATGGAATTTCATGCACATGCAACTGTCACATCGCAGGGACTGCGATAGTTTGCTTGGTTTACACCATCAATAAATTGTGCTAAATATTGTAACCGTATTATGTAAGATGATGCAGCTGAGTGACAGGGCAAACATTTGTCTTGGCAGCAGATATTTTGACATAGAGGAATTGATATAAAAAGCAAAATGATATGTCAAAATGATGACAAATTATTTCCAGTCTTTTGCAAAATTGTCTGCCATCGGATGTTAAATTAAGATTTTGTGTTTGTGTATGGCCGGCTATTAATCTGACCGTGCTGCGTTTTGTGGTCGTGAGCAGGCGCAGTTGTGGTCGACCTGACCTGTGAAGCCCTCGAGCCTCCTGTGGTGGACCTGACTACCGGCGATTCGGTGGTGGTGAGTTGAAAGCGTCACCTTTTCGGTGCTCAAGGTCCCCTCGGGTCCTCGTGTGAGGGTTAAAGATGCGGGTCCAGTACGCCTTCTCAGAAGCTTTTCACCTTTGCCTGAGTTGGCGTGTTGAGTGCAGCATATTTTTTAACCTGCTGTGATGTTAAATCACTGCTTCAGGTATATTGGGGGGAAAAAGAACGAGTATAAATTTCGGCAGAACATGTTACATTAAAAGGTAACGTAACATAACGTCCAAACTGCAATGGTGACTGTTCATTCTACTAATGATGATCTTTGTTGTTTCTCTCTGAATTCCGACCATTTTGTCACCTCTGTTTGATCTCGGACCCTCAGCTTGTTGATGAACGTGAGTTTTTGTCTTGCTCCCTCCTTGTTGTTCTGCATAATTAAGAGAAATTGGGGTCTCTCTATGACTGTCTGACTCTTCTTGTCAGTCAGCCTTTTGTCTGAATGTCTGTCTGTCTGTGTCTCACTTAGATTCAGCCCTCTGTGCTTCTGTTAAGTCACTTAGCCTCAGCCGTGTGTGTCTGTCTGTCAGTCAGTCAGTCTTGGGCATTAATACAGTGTTTACCAGTAAGTCAGTCAGTCAGTCGTAGGTATGAATGTCTGTCTGTCAGGATCAGGTTCTCAGGGTGACCGTGGCGCTAGCAGCGAGAGCTATGTGCTGAGCAGTGGTGAAGAGGACGAAATGACTTTCCCCAGCAGAACTGCCTTCCTCTCAGCCCTGGAGTCCAATAGCAGAGCCAGGTCTGACTCTGACTCGACCCCGCCTCCTAAAGCTAGGAGTCCATCTTGCTAGGAGTCTTGCTATCAGGCATACAGATGGCGTGATGAGTCTGTCTCTCTCTGTAGGTCCACACCGGGAACCATCAGCTGTCCCATCTGCCTGGAAACCTACGGGGAGGTGAGAGCCTGGCTCTAGCTGTAATGTGCAGTAGCGCCCCGCCCCCCAGGTCACTGAGAGCACAACTTTGTTCTGAACATTTCCACAGGTTTACAATCATTGTGGCATGTTGAGACCCCCCTTGCTTGTTGTTGTTGGATCACTTATGCCTGAATCTCATAGGTGCTCATAGTATCTGTCTCCTGCTCCGTGTGTCCCCGGTCTCCGTCTCCTGCTCCGTGTGTCCCCGGTCTCCGTCTCCTGCTCCGTGTGACCCGGGTCTCCGTCTCCTGCTCCGTGTGACCCGGGTCTCCGTCTCCTGCTCCGTGTGACCCCGGTCTCCGTCTTCTGATCTGTGAGAGCCTCATCTCTGTCTTCTGATCTGTATAACCCTAGTCTCTGTCTCCTCCTCTGCTGTAGATCGTGGCTAATGGAAGGCTGGTGGTATCCACCAGGTGTGGTCACCTGTTTTGCAGCCAGTGCCTCCGGGACTCTCTGCTCGAGTCTCACACCTGCCCCACTTGCCGGAAGCGACTGACCAACAAGCAGTACCACCCAATATACATCTGAAGCAGCAAGACCTCAGCCCCTGGGAAAGCCAGTTGGGAAGGTGCAGTTTAATGTTTGCACTTGGGTACCAACAAGCCACTTCTGCAAGGGTGCAAAGTGCCAGCACAGATCATGGTCTTGCCAATTAATTGGAATTTCAACTTGCACAACTAGGGGGGCCACCACCCCCAACTGCGGCTATGCCTGGAGAGCCTACAACACTGGCTGTGCTGATTTCTGTTTTAATCTGATTTGTCTGAGATCTTTTTCTGGACATTTTCTTTATATTGTATCATCTTTGTGACCAGTTGAAAAAGATGTATCTGTCCCTATTGCTCAGGAAGTTATACTGGGGGTATAAGGCCCAGGGTGGCACATTGCCCTCTGCTGGACAGACTGCTGTGCTGCCATAGTCTTATTTTTGTAAATATTTGTAGTTGCTTTGTAAATATGGTACCACTAAGTTAAGGATTAGTGACAATATAAAGAAACATTTTTTAAAGCTTTGGGCATATCATGACATCTTTTAGATTTCTAAAAATCCTTGGTGCCTGAAAAATATTTAATTATGCAACATACGTGAATGAGTTTTAGGTATAAATGTGAACTGTTGATTGTTTTTTTTTGGGTGAGTGTGTGTGAGTTTTGATAATAAATGACCTGCGTGTGTTGACTTTGAAAATAGTCCCATTAGTCTTTCTGTATTTAATGTTTTCATAACACAGTACAGAGGTGTAAATGGATAATTATGGATCTGTCTCATAATTCACACGTTCAATACATTTACATACATAGCAGATGCTATTTCAAACTTAAAAGCGACATTTATTTTGAAAAGGCAGGGTCGGACAATACCTGTGGCAAATGGGGGTTAAAGGCCGTGCTCAAGGGCCCAATGGTGACATCACTCTGCTGAACTTGGGATTTGAACTGGTATCCTTCTGATCACAACCACAGTGGCTTAGCCCACGGACCCAGCTGGCTAGGTGCAATTTACAAATTGCCAGTATAATTTGAAACATCTATACAGTATAAAGTTTAAATAGCTGAAGATCTGCATTTGGTAGTATTGGATGGTAGTGTTTGGTGAAGCAAGGCTTCAGGACACATAGGAGATTTTTTTTTTTTTACACTGTCAATCACTCTCCGATCCACATCCCCCTGGTTAATTTATTGGTTCCCATGATATTGAACCAGGCACTGATAAAATGATTCTATGCAGCTGGAGCTCAGACATGTGTGCTTTCTAACGTTGCAGTACGTGTGGTGCAGCATCACAGCACTGTTATAAAGGAGACATTACCCTCGCTTCTCCTCAGAGACAAGCCTGAACGAGTGAGACCTTTGTGCTCCACATTTCCACAGCTGTCTGGTCTGCTGTAAACCTCCACTGCTCAGTTTGCCTGCTGGTAGCTCTCAGGAAAAGGCTGGCCTCCTTGACAGATAAATAATGGGGCACAAGGAGATGGATTCCTTTTGTTGACCGTTCCTTTGGGAGGGTGACCGTTTTCTTGCCAGAATATATGTCTGATTTCACCCTGCATACAAAATTTTGCCTATAGATGCTCCCATTTGGTAATCGTGACATTGTGATTTTCTTATTACAAAGTGTTTGTGAATGGAATAGGCTCCCTTTCACCACGTCAAGCATGGTAAGAAGTTGCTTTGCCAACATAAAGTGCAATGAGCTTAGATGGTCGTGACAGCAAGCAGTGTGTGTAGTGATCAAGCACATAGGTTTATAACTTGATGGTTACTGGATCAAGGCCCGAAGGAACCTTCATCAGCTTCATTTTATATGCTTCATCTGAACAGCTCTGCTGTATACTATGCAAAAATAAATTGAATATATATATTCTCCACTTGAGTTGCTCTCTAACCCCTTTGGTTCCAGGTTTCTTTTGTCCTGACTGTGGAGATTATGCAAGCCTTCCTCATTAGTGTCTTGCATCTTTACAGGATAATAATACTCATATCGGTGGATACACCAGTCACCCCCACAAAAACATGATTTCATTCAAGAAGTGACTAGCTGACCTAAGGATTGTTGCTTAACGTAAACAGAATGTTACTAAATTTAAAGTTTATGAAATACAAAATATTAAAGTTGAGGGAACATCAGGAAACGTGTCATTACAGTTTCTCGGTGTGCATCCCCATCCCGCTGTAAACATTACGTAGATTTCCTCTGGCGGCCACAAGGTGGCAGTGTAATATTACGTGTGATAGTCCTAAACATCGTAAAATAGGCCTAAGTAAATGCATTAATAAATAAGCTAACAAATACTAATGCTGATGGTCTGAAGTGACGTAAACTATTTTTAAATTTCCGTTTTATGATGCAGTAACGATGTTTACAGTGCTACCATTTTTTTAAATTTAGTTGAATAATTTTTTTCAAAACAATAAATGTACATTTTTTTCTGAAAAATATATACACATTTTAGCAGGCCACTACATACATTGTATTGTTTATCAGCATCTAAAGCAATCAAATATGATGCTAGCACCATTAGCTACACACTTTAAAAACCGTAAACGTCTGAACTGATTGTAACTTTTACTGTTCCCTTTTACAAGCCTATATATGAATAAATTAATAACAATGACTCTGAGGAAAAAATATCATTATATATTGAGTTTTTAAGTATCAATTTATTTAATAAAATGTTATTTATTAATGCATAGACTGTACAATGCTCAATTTTGGTTTTCCGCTATATCCTTTGCCAAAGTAATTCATCAATGCGAACAAACACGTCAGTATAAATGTTCTTCGCACGAAGAGCGTCATTATGATAAATTGAATGCCACTGATACATATGATTTTTTGTCTAAAGTATTGCATAATACATCCTGATATACATTTATAAATGTTTTCATAAATTTATTTTAAAAATTTAAGAGTTTACCAATGCATTAAAAATACTAGAGCAAGCATGAAAGATCCATAACAATCACCCAACACATGCAACAATATGCTGTTAAAAAATAACAAAATAAATATGAAAAGCGACCACCAACTCAAGAATATTGCAATAGTTCGAAGAAAATTAGAAAACCACTTGCACAACACCAGACTTGTTTTTCCACAGAATATCCTGCAGTAATTATCTTTCGGTGAAAATGTGTGGGGTTTTTTTTTAACTTAATTATAATGCTCTTTTATATCCTAAGCATCGCTCAATTCATCGGTAACAAAGGTAGGGTGAAATTTATAAACTTCGAAAAAAGTATCCTTAGTTTATTCTTTGGTCATGACATTATGTCAAAGGAGATTTACGACATACATTTGTTGAATCGCAACACGATACGTCTTTCGCATTTAACATTTATATACATTTAACTCAATTCACGCTATTTTACAAGGCAGCCTAACGCATTCATTAAAATGTCCATTAAGGACCTGTTAAAATGTGGCAAAAGACAACTGCTTCGGGACATCTGGCTGATTGTCCATGACACTCTTTGTAATCCTGTTCCGAACAGCTCGAATCCCTTTTTATTGCAGAAGTTCTCCTCTTTTCTCTTCAAATTGTGTGAAATGTGATCCTAAGTTATTTTACCCACTACAGATCTGGTACTTTTGAGCAAGGTGATCATGCGGTTCTACATATTTTACAGCCGACATTTTGTAACGTTTAGTGTTTTAAAATATCACCGACTGTATCCGCTTTTCTTCTTATAATTTTACAATTAGAGGTTATTTGGAAAATGTTTATATTAACACAACCATGATTATTATTATTATTAAGGGTCCAAAGCACGTAGTGCTATGGAACCTTATTGTTTTTATTATTATTATTATTATTATTATTATTATTATTATTATTATTATTATTATACATCCAGTGAGATTATATGGTTAAAGGAATCTCGATGACTCGACCAGTCTTACCTGGAGTACTTTGCTGCTAAATTAAAGTTATTGATTAATGAGCAGCTTTGCTCAATACCACGGAGTCAGGCGACAGTAGACTATTTTCCTTTCTTTTCTTCAAAATCTACAATGTTTGAATGTTTTGAAATATTGAGTGGAATTCATGAGTTTTTAGACCTCGGACATAAACTACTTAATTAGTCTGATTCCAGTTTCATCAGTATTTGGTCGTTTTATACCAATATTTATACAAAGACATCAACAGCAATAATAATAGTACTTCGAAACGATTATTATTCTTATGTTTTTTTTGTATGAATTTGTATTTTGCAAAAAAAAAAATATCTTTGTAAAATAAAACAAAAATGCGTCTCCGTACGTCAATAACTTGTCAGCGCCCCGTCCAAAAAGGCGCTTTAATCCGAAGGAGTTAAACGCTGCGAGTTGCGGAGCCTTTTTCTGATTGGCCGAAAGTTGGGAGCTGGGTTGAGCCCAAGTCATCTCTATAGTGCCTCTGTATTCCTACGTCCGATACCTTGAATGCTGTTATCTAAATACGATTTTTACCCTGATTTCATCTCCTATTCACAGTTGCAAAGCGGGATACAGTCAGTTAGGCGTTTTCCTGCGAATTACGCTCCATATCCACAGACGAGGGTGGCGAGAACTTTTGCGGCTTTTGTTGGATTTATGTTCACTACGAGGACGCATACGGGACTCCGTTTCAGAAGCGATTTGTAATATTTTTACATACTTGGCTGTAGCAGATTCCCAGACAGATTTTTCGAAGATCTGCTAAAAAAATATCAGCTTTAAAACCACATCGGCTCTAGAGTGTCAACCGATCGTAGGAAGACTGAGATCACTTGCAGTACAGTGTCTGTCAAACTGTCTATGATAGACACCCCTGGACCGATAAAGCAAAGCGGATTTAATCGTATGAATTAAATCAAGAATGTTTTCACTTGGGAAACCTGCTTTCTTTTGGAAACAAGTTCGAGGATAACTTTGTGTGTTTATGTAGCCTAATTACAGGTAAATAACCGAAAAATACTTTTGGTAGCGGTTTTGTATTGATATTGCCTTGATGCATAATTCATGCACCAAGGAAACTTTTTTTCGGAAAACACACACGTGCATGTGTGGTTTATATAGATAAATTATTAGTTCAGAAAGCTGAACAAGCAAATTTCAGCTGAACAGCTTATAAAAAATTAAACTTTGTGAGAGAATGGTTGGTGTATGTATAATTTTATTTAAGAAGCCGTTTTCACGGCGCTCCATCATTTTAGCGGTCACGAAGATGCGTTAGGAAATGCGATGTCTACGTACGGGCCATAATAATGACAGGCCTAATAATAATAATAATAATAATAATAATTATTATTATTATTATTATTACGGTGATATAAAATTTGCATAACGTTACCCGTATACAGTCAAATAGATTTTAAATCAAGGTTTTTGATATTTGCCGTTTCATTTCATATTAAATTCGATGCCTGCTTTTACCAACTGACGGCTAACCACAGTATCTGCAAGAATTGTACATTTTCATCTGTATGCACTTTATTACGTTGGCAGCTTAATTATAAGCATAGACTACAGGTGAACCAAAAGTCCTCGGTATTTCTCCGTAGATTTCACGTACTGCTTCAATAGCAGACGAGGGATATTTTGCAACTTTTCGTAAATGTCAATGATGTGCTGGGTGTTGGATAATAATAATTAATTTCACATTGTCGACTTAAGCAAGTTTATGATTTAAATTCCGTTGTAAATCTGCAGAAATCGATAACTACTCAGTAATTATTCCACAGGTGACAGAGAAAGAATGTTCATGTATTAAGAGATTTACTAACAAATGTATCACTTGTTACATCTGCCACTTGTGTATCTTGAGCAGAAAAAAATAACAATTTTCTTGGGTTTGTTAAATATATACTGACAATGAGAGCAGATGCCAAAATGCTAATATAGGTTTATTAGAACAATGTATTTTCTGCTGATTCTAGTTGATTCTAAATGATATTCAGTTGCAAATATTTTCAGCCCTTAATATACACATAGTGTGTTTAAGAAGATATTTAGTGTAAACCTGATTTTGTATGTTTGATTGTAGTAACTTTGCCCCAAATCACTAAAAAGTAATTTTGTTTTTTCTTTTTTTTCCATAGAATTGAAATCTAGAAGCCGTTTGTTGCCAAAATGGAACTTTTCCAGATTGTCCTGTTCCTTTTTGAGATTGTTCTGCTGTCGGACTGCGCGAGGGGTGAGTAACAGAGCTCCTAGTTTCTTAGCCGATTCTCCCAATGCATCTTGCCGAAACGCTGTCGGCCTCCTATGTACTCAGCTGTAATATTTTGTTTCCATTCTCCTGTTACGACACACACAGTTTCACAGTGTTCCAGGCGGAACGTAGAGGATGTGTCTGAGCCTTTTCCTTCTTTCATATGGGGGGGGTTAGAGATTCAGGGTGTGGGTTTCTGTTAGTCCCTGAATTCCCTCAGGTAGCTCCCGGCTCTGGGTGCTGACAGCCAAGATGGGGAACGGGGTTAAAAGCGAAAGAGAAAAGCCGACACCCCATCCTGGGTGGCTTAGTGACCCCC